ATCCCGAACCTCTCCAGAGCGTGCAACATAGCGGTGTGGTCAATTGAATCGAAAGCTTGCTTCCAATCTAAGAAAAGCAGGTGTAGAGGCCTGTCCGTCATTTTTGCCCACTCCATTGAACGACGTAGAATAAATAAAGGGTGCCTAGTGCCTCTACCCGCCCGGAACCCAAATTGCGTGCCGCGTAATTTGTAGTCCGAAGAGCTAGCGATACGTGACTGGAGCATGGTAGCGAAGAGCTTGTAAACTGTATTTAGCAACGAAATTGGTCTGTAATTCTCCACATTAGTGTCTGAGCCTTTGCCTTTAAAAATGCTCACCACCGTGGCCTCAGTCCAGCTCTGCGGTATGTTCTGGTTAGAGAGAGCCTCGTTAAACATGTCTAGCAAAGCTTGCTCCCCATCTGAGTCTAGAAGCGAGAATAGCTCATTAGGAACTCCGTCAGGTCCTGGGGCCTTGTTTTTCTTGAATTTACGTATACCTAGCTGAAGCTCTTTCAGGGTAAACGGAACCTCGTGTTCATCTTGCGGGAAAAGCGGGTCTGAATTGAGGTTTCTGTCTGACAGCGGTGTGGTCAGGCGCGAAGCCCATTGGGTATTCTGTAGATGGTCCCGGAAGGCTTCGGGTTTCAGGGATTAGGGCATAGGGTTTTTAGTGTTGGGGCCAAGATTTTTCTTGTTTTTGCGATTAGGGTTTAAGGTTTTCGGGATTGAGGCTTTCGGTTTGTAGGGTTAGGGATTAGGGTTCAGGGTTTTTGGATGGTTTCAGTGCTGGGGCTCAGGGTTTTTAGGGTTAGGCTTTAGACTTTTTGTGGGTGGGGGATTCAAGGTTTTGGGATTAGTGTTAGGGCTTCGCGTGTTTAGGGCTAGGGTTTTGAGTTTTTGTGGGTTAGGGATTTGGGTCTTGGAGTGTAGGGTTTAGGGTTGATAGGGTCAAGATTTAGGGTTGTTGGGGTTAGGGTTGAAGGTTTTTGGGATTGAGGTAGGGTTGTTAGGGTTTAGGGTGTTTAGGGCTAGGGTTGGTGTTTGGAGTTGGGGTTCGGAGATTTTGTGGTTAGGGTTTCGGTTTTCTACTGTTAGGTTTTTGTCAATTAGTGTTTTTGTGTTCTTTGGGTTTGGGATCAAGGTTTTTGGTATTGGGGTTTAGAGTTTTTATGGTTGGGCCTTTAGGGATAGGGTTTAGGGATTTGGGTCTTTAGGAATAAGGTGTTGGGGAATAATGTTGGTGTTAAGGTTTAAGGTTTAGGGTGTTTTGGGGGTGTTAGGGTTCAGGTTTTTGGGGGATTCAGGTGTCAGGTTGTCAGTGTTAGGGGCTTAAATTTCTCAGGGTAAGGGTTTAGGGTTCTTAGGGTTAGGGTAGGGGGCGTTTGAATTAGGGTTTTGGTATTAGGATTCAGGTTTTTGGCGTTCAGGTTTTATTCGGACCTTTTTTCCGCTTGAATATCCAGTCTGTGCTCGCAGAGCACGGCCCCGTGGCCAAATGCCATGACATTACAAGATTTTAGGGTTGAGAATTTTGGGCTTTGGGTTTCGGGCTTTTAGGGTTAGGGGCTTGGATTTTCAGGGTCAGGGTTTAGGGTTTTTGGTGTTTAGGCATCAGGTTTTTGACGTCAGTCTAGGGTTTCCATAGTGCCAAAGCTTAGGGCTGTTAGGTTGAGGGTTTGGGCTTTGAGATTAGGGTAAGGGTTTTGGGGATTAGGGTTGAGGTTTGGGTTAATGGTCTGGGGGTTTTGGGCCCGGGGGGGTTAGGGTTTAGGATTTAGGATTTTTGGGGATTAGGGTTCAGGGGTCTTAGCGTTAGGGCTTAGGGTGGGTTGAGAGATAAGGCTCTTGGGGTGTGGGTTTAGGATTTGTAAGGTTAGGGTTTAGGGGGTTGCTATGACAGAAGCAAAAGCGCGGGCAGCACATCAGTTCTGGTTGTAGCAACAAAATAGCAGCAACAAGAGCAATCATAAAAAACAACCGTAATAACAAGAAGAACAATAATCAAAATAGTAATGGTAAGTAATAGTAGAAATAATAAGAAAAGTAGCAGCGGCAGGTTCCGGGGGGCAACCCCTAGATCGGAACATGTACCTTCTTGCACACCTTTCACGGGATCTTCAGGCAGTACACCTTCTCGCATGCTCTTGACGGCATTTAGTTTGCCTTCATCAAAATGTCAAATTTCCATTTTCTGCAGACTTTCAAGATTTGAAAGGCTGTCATGGGTTTGAAGCTTTTCAGAAACTCCATTGGCTTTCATTTACCTTGCAGCCTTACCAAAACCCCAACTGCTGCTATTTCCCGTATTCGTAGTTTTCCAAAGCCACAGATGTTGCGATTTGCACTATTCGTAGCCTTTCCATGTGCACAGATTTGCAATATTTGTAGCTCTTCAATGGCCACAATGCTGAAATTCATGCTATTCGCAGCCTGTCAAGAGCCACAAATGCTTAAGTTGCATTCTTCGTAGCCATCAAAATCCCCTAAAGAAATATTGTTTTTTCGTACTTGTAGCCTTGCAAAGGCTGTAAATGCTGCAAGTTACCCAAAAAACATATCCCCCAGAAAAGAAAAATAGATAGTCGGCCCTCAACTACTCCTTGAACAGAGGTTCAACTTTATGGCTTGCAGTTCATTTGTGCACCCAAGATCTGTCTCAACTCCTGCCTTGTAGCTGAGGGTGTGGGGATATCTGAAACGAATGTGATTCGCAGATCGCGGCAAGTTTGAGGAGTCCTAAGGCATTCTGATCATCTCTATTCCCTCAGCTACCTGCGATTAATGGGCAAGTTTGCAAGTCCGATCCTGCAGGTCCGTAAGCGGCGTCAGGAAGCCGAGTCTGTTGATCTCTTCTGTGGGGTTGTCGTGAGTCAACCTGCACGTAGAGGCCCTTGACTTTACAATCCGGATTTGATTCAATGACAGGCGTCAGGCACTGGGAACACCACCCAGCTATTCGCTGCACGCGATAGCTTGTGTAGCGTGTCAGGTCCTGCATGCAGCGGCGAACCATCTCTCATTGCTGCGGCATCCTCGAATCCAGCCTTCTTCCGTCGGATGTTATGCCGACCATCAGATGTAAGGCCGCGCATGTGCCGCCGAATCACCATACTCATCTGATGAGGACTCTCCTGAGCGCAACTTTTTATGCTGTTGCCAACAGGCCACAAGCCGGTTCATACAGTAGACGGCATGCCGTGGCTAGCATGCAGACTGCTTTAAATTCTCACGCCTACCAAGAAATCAAGAATGTGCTATGATGATGCTGATCAGGCTGATGATGAGGGCCATGACCACATACGACGACAACGATAACGACGGCGGCAACAACGATGATGCCTACAGGCCGACTGCAACAGCGCAACACTGCGACATGTTGAGAGGTGGAGATGCCCCAAGAGACCTGATCCCGAGTATCCCGTCATTTCCCGAAACGTGGTTGTCCAGGCACTTCTCCGAACATTTCCCGTTTTTCAACCAACAATGATTATACACTACACACGAACCCAACCAGCCTGCACACCATACCCTACCTTCAAAACTGTGTCAGCCTAATTCCACAAGGCCCTGGCCGGATGCATCACATTGTCGAAGATCCGATCCATCCTGGGGCCTGCGCTAGCTGCCTTGCCGAACGCCGAAGGTGACAAGTGATGAGACTTCAAGGCTTCAGACTCACCAGTTAAAAGGTCTTTTCTGGGAGACTATTTGACCATGGATGAACTGGTCAGGCGACTCTTCCGTAGTCAGCCTTTTGACTGCAACTTTCTAGGAGAACGCGAGAAATTTAGCGTGCAGAGTTCAGAGTTCGGTGCTCAAGGTTTTACAGGTTTCAGATTCGTGGTGCAGGGCTTATCATGGTTTATGGGTCTCATTGCTTCGGATTTAAGAAGATTTAACGTTTGGGCTGTTCAAAAACCCCCACTATCAAATCAAACTCTAACGTAGGGCTGCCATGTTTGTGCAAGACTTGGATCCGTCAATCTTCATACCCTCTGTCATTGTGAAGGGCACGAAATATTGGGGATCAGTTTCTGGAATCATTTTCAACTTCCGAACGGCGGATTGAACAAATCCAGGCTTTCGAAGGGTCGAGGTCGAAGGTAGGGGTCCAGGACTAATACTTAGACAACAGTCATGGGAGACAGAGAGAGCGGCAACTGTTATTCTTGGTGCCACTGTTGTCGCCACTGCTGTTACAATCTTGCACTTCTTCCCATGCTTCAGCCCTTCCGCTTGCTGCCACCCCTAGAACACAATAACTCTTGCATCGGGCCTTCTGTTCCTCAGTGCGGTCATCCCGCTTCGGCAGCCGCTTTCGCTTGGTGCCGCGTTTCGCCCAGCGCACCTGAAGGGGCGCCTCGGCATCGTCGAAACAGATTCAGGATGTTTCACAGCATTTAGGGGAAAATGTGTAGGGAATTAACGACGGAATATTGGAGGCTTGCTATAGCTGTTGACAGAGCACATGGATTGTGCAGATGGCTTCGCAGAACTTAGGGGCCTTCTAGGCCTGAGGGGTGGCAGGCGGGGCAGGTTAGGGACTTTGGAGACGTTGTGGTTGTGCCACTTTGCACTCCCAATGTTTTTGCACAATGAACCCATAATGACATTATGTTGAGAAACTCCCAACTCCCACAACCTCCTTCAAAACCTGAAACCCTCAAAACCTGCGCAAGCTACCTTTCTATAAGAGATGTCAGAAGGAGCCCGTGCCCTCAGAGGCCTCCTTTTCTCCACTCGAAAACATCTCAGGTTCGGACTGCGAGGCCGAGAAGACCCTGGGGGAGGCCTCTCCAGGATTTGGGCAGGTTTAGGGTTTAGAGTTTAGAGTTTTGGAGTTTTGGAGTTAAGGGCCAGCATGAAAGACTTAAGATTTATTGGTTAGACTTCGGGGTGGAAGGTTGAGGATTTCAGGTTGAAACAAGGATCTTGCTATCACTATCACTTTCACGGTGAGCACCACGATTCTAACCACCCATGTCATCTTCAATATGCGTCCTATATGTACAAGCATACATGGTAGTTCCCATAAATAGGGATGAGGGACCCAAGAGAAAACCCCTAATATGCTATAGTCCTGCTTATGGGGGCACAAAAAAAAGTACCCCGAATTTGGGATTCCCCGCATATCTTACCTCCCAGGTTCTGAAATGACCTTGCCTGGGAGGACTTCTCCCGAAACGCGCATAGCGCTCATGACAGCACGCATGGCTTCAAGATTGGTAGAGAGAGTGGAGTACGTGGTGGATTCCAGAGACTGGGGTTCCCAAAGATATGCCAAGCTGGGATGCTTGCAAAAGTAGGTGGCACTGCATGACAAAAAAGTGCCAAAGGTTTGAATTTGGGCTTGACGGGTCTTGTGATGGAGCGTCGTGCCTTCCAACTGACAAAGCTCCAGCTTGAGCCGAGGAAGGCTAACACGCGGCCCTTACAAGGTATGCCTGCAGTGTTGCAACAGACCATGACGCCACCCTGAGAATCCTTCTTGATGTTGCATCATACGCTGTTGCAGTTGGCTGGAGCAAGCTGCTGCTTGCCGTTCAAGATTGAAAAAGCTGGTAGCGCAAGACAACTGCTTCTGTGGCCAGCGCGCTTGTGGGGTGAAACAGGAAACGGCCAGCGTGAGTCTTGTGGGAAAACAAAAGCAATCTGCAGAGCTTGCGCTCCCCAATCTGAAAATCTTGAAAGCTTATGGCTCGAGAAAAGAATAATGTGGCTGGCAGCCGGACCGAACCATCCGACTGAACGCAAGGATCTCGAATGATGCGGTAACGGTTAATCTCTTCCGAATGTGCAAGAAAACTTGTACAAGACACCTGAGCAAAGTGCTCAAACCGTTACCACTCACCGGGCAAGCACAAGAAGCACAGCATTCTAAGCCTTCATGCCGGCACTGCGCATCCCTGCTTCAAAAAGTTTTATGCTATTTGGATCTCGAGGCGACAAGAAGCTTTGACCCTCACGGTCTATGGTCGCCTGCAGTCATGTCAAAGCAACAGGCCGCAGCAGCCATGCAAATAATTAGAGGACGCAGGACTGGGTTCGAACGAGTTCCCGCCCACTTTGATAAAGACTTTGCACATAAAGCTAGGTGCGTTGGAGCGCTTAACCTGCAAAGGCCTTCAGACCACAACAACCGAGCGAATCTCAACTAGATGCCGCAAGGATATAGCTTGTGGTGAGCAGCTTTGCCAGAGCTGTATGTTTGAAATCACGCCATCTCTTGGAAAAGTAGTTTCTCGGTTATGTAACAGGTCCGAGGATTTCAGGATAATTTTCCAAACCAGTTCAACTATCAGGTTGATGATCAATTTCCCTTAAGCAGCACTCCTGCTTGATCTCATGGTTCAGTTTGCAAGAACCATCAATAACCATTACAAATCTAAGTAATGTAGACCTTTGATTAATAAACCCCCTCCCTTCAAGGAGCCTTCGTATTAGCATCCTTATTATAACCCTCATAAAGGGGAGGGGGTTTATTGATCACGGGTCTACATTAAACTTCGAAATGTAAACCAAATTAGACAGGGAAGTCGTAGCCTGGAACCTCACTACTGTAATCGGAGGAACAATCTAATTTTCAATTCGATTTTAAGTTGAGATGTGCAAGTTTCAAGAAACTGTTGGAGAAAGCTAGAAGTCTGTTCCGAATTGAGAGTTCGAAAAACTAGACGAAGGAGGCCTTCACCCCTTACTTAAACAAAAGGGTGTTGTTCCGAGTGCGCATAAGGAAAGGAAGTGGAAAGAATGGAATCCATGAGTTCGCATCAAAAAAATGCGTCTCTAAGGTCCATGTGCCATTCAAGCTAAATAGCCAAAAGATGATGCATTTCAAAGGAAAAATCATGTCACATGGCGCACCGTCGTTGACTTTTAACTCATGTAACTAAGCTTGAATCTAGCCATCTGTGTCTTACTACATGGGCTGACTAGGTGCATGCATTGCGGCTCACGCGAATCATTGAGTTACATCAGACTAGGGTGGGCTGCCTGAAATGAAAACCAAAAGAAATTCAAGATTCGGCAGTCACGTTCAGGCCTTCAGGCTCCTAAGAAAATGTGTTTACTGCCAGCTCGTGCATGAAGCAATTTTGCGGAGAACCAAACTATTACACGATTCGGTTAGATGATCAAGGTTGGCTCCATTACATAGAGTGTATAGATTTCCTCCGTGATCTCCTTCTATAGATGTTGCAAGACTGCCCAGTTGTTTGGACCCCTCATGCTATCAATCTAACATTCGAATGTCGGTAAATTGTCTAGCTACTAGCACACTAGTGCTTTTGACCTTGTCTGACTTAGCTATGGATTGAACTCATCGCACTAGAAGAGTGCAAGTAGTGCGCAGGTGCAACGACCGAATTTGATTAAGCTAGCCTGTTATTTGCTGGAAGAGCTTTGCTTCAGTCGATTGAAACCCTGATATGGAAGCCATATGGGTCTAAGGAATCCAAGCAAGTAGGCTCGATTCAAGTTTCCGATGAGGCTTCGGCTAATCAAGGTAAATACTAAATCTTCCAGACCATCCAGATCTGAACCATCCATAATTCAAGACTCCACGACAGCCTGCAATAAGTAAGTCCAAAACTCAAAAGCAACGAATACATTGTTTCTCAAGACCTCAAGAAGTCCGCCTGGAAATGCCATGAAAACAGATCTGAACACATGATTCGGGATCCTCAACTCACGTAAGCAGCTATGTCCAACTTCCGCGATTCCAGAATGGAACCAGTGTGGGAAGCCCCTCAGAACAAACCATCACTCAGGTTCAAGATTCAGATTCGGATGTGTGTGTAAGGGCTGTATACGCGCTTCTTGCACATCTGTTTTGGAAGTTTCTCCGAGCATGAAGCATGACCCCAAACACTGAGAAATTCTTCTTACAACGGGCAAACGGCCTGAATTCTCAACCCTGCACCCAAGCACCCTAAGCCGTCAACCGTAAACCGCAAAGCCTAAAATTTCTTTCAAATCCTGAATCCAAGACCCCCGGAACTCCTAAAACCCGAAAATCCATAAGCTCCTAAAGAAGCCGTAAACCTTAAGACCCTCAAGGGCCTGAGTACAGAAAGAAGCCGAAGAGGCCCTCGTCTGGGAGAGCTCCTGCCTGGCAGGTAGGGGGCTCATTGTGCAAAATGTCAGGCCAGGGAAGTTAGAGTTTAGGGTTACGACTGCGACTCAGACCCAGGCTGCTTGTGTGTTTTAGGGTACAGGGTTGCTTTACGGCGTGGAGAGTGCCCTGGGACTGGACATCTCCAACTATCCTCACCGACTGAAACGGGATTGTGTAGCGATGCTGACGCCTGGCTTTGTGACTGGTCCTCTAAAAGGTCGACCCTACACTGTTACATGCATTCTCGTGTGGACCCGTGCAGGGGGTGAATACCTCATCCATGTTCTGTCTTCAGAGATGTCATAGCTTAGCAAAGCAATTATCAGACCCAATGACTTGCAGTGAGTCTCCTACCCGCACCCCCTGGCCCTAAACCCTAAACAAAAACACGTGTCAGCATCCTATGAAACTATAGCTAACAACCGCAGCAGTGCTTTAATCAAAAATCTTGGAAAAGATTCCTATGATATGAACACGCCTGTACACACCGCAAGACACCAAAGAGCCCCAATAGCACCCACACAAAAACCGCACACAATGCACTTTGACAACCTCCTGAAACTGCTGTCAACAAGAAGCAATCTCTTGCAGAAGGTGCCTGTTTCAAGCTGGGGGTGAGTTCGCCCGACTCTTTCAGGGGCACAAGACCTGCACAGAACTGTGTACAGGCTGTCATGATGCGAACGTCTCTGCTTTTCAAAGGTAGTTGTTTTGTCATTATGAAGGAGGCATACCCTGGCACAGTGTTGCTAGTGGTGATTAGCCACACATAAACAGACGTAGTACAACCAAACACTTGCGATCCTAACTGCAAAAAAGTCTTTCTCTATTGAACCCAACCTGGCTCTCCGTCCATGAGGCCTCCGACCTTGCCAGGCAACCAAAAACAAGCCAGAGGTGGGGACCAAACCCAAACTTACTGGTTCTTAGTAGGGAATAAGGGAATATGATCCCATAAAATCCCGATGTAATGCCTGCATAATGTATTCCCTGTTCCCTACTAAGAACCAGAAAGCAAAGACACCAACAAGCAAACCTAGGTGCCGCACGCTCTTGCCGCCGATGAAGATGTGAGGCATACTGGTTCGCCTGATGTGACAGGACTCACTGCCTTACTGAAGCTAACCCCAATATACTATAGTAGTTTCCATTCTCTTTTCCATTATCCCTATATAGCTAACCCCAATATACTATAGGACTTTCCATTCTTAGTAGGATCTGCAGCTGGGCCCTTGGCCCATAGAGCTGACCAAGCCTGCGTGTCAAAAGCAGGCCGAGCAAGAGATAGTGCAGGGACTGGGATGAGAGCTGCATTCGACCCACAACCCTGTCGACACCGCAAGGAGAAGCATAGGGACTACTGAGAAACAAAACCAAAATCCCGCCCTCAGGATCCAACAAACGGATCTACTACCTCGAGAAACCGCAGCGGCTGCGCAGGGAAAGAGCTCGGCTAATGCAGCCAAGTTGCTCTGCTCGCTTTGCGGCTTGCTCGGGCGTGGCCAGGAACCATTCGTAGCCCAAGGAGATCTTAGCGCATCTTGGCTGCTAGCACGAAGCAAGGTAAAGTTAAAATCTCGGGAATCCTTAGTCGTAAGTCATTTGGGATTTCGAACAGTCAGGAATCACTTTTGACAGTGCCTGTAAGCAATGAAATTAACTATCAGGACTACAATATCTTAGGACACAAGCAGGACACCTAGTTAAAGCAACCACTCTGCGGTGCCTCCGTGTAGTCAGCACCCACGGAGTCAAGCAGCTTCTTGGCCTGATTGTTTGATTGATGCTGGATTCGGGTTAGTTATATTGTGATTATATTGGAATAATGGAAAACTAAGAAAATTTGTAGCATTAATAGGAATAAATTGGAGTAATAGTAGTGATGGCTATAATTGTATTAACACTAGTACTACGATTGAAAGCAGTAACAGTAATAGTAGTAGTAGAAGTAGTAGTAGCAGCCGTAAAATAATGAGAATAAGAAGACCAGTAAAAATGGTAGGAAGAATCATAACTGTAGCAAACATTGAAAAAG